GGAATCGACTACAATGAAGTATTTTCCCCTGTTGTGAAGCATTCCTCCTTTAGAATATTGTTGGCCTTAAAAGCACAGTTGAATTTGGAGCTAGCTCAACTTGATGTAAAGACAGCTTTCTTGCACGGTGATTTAGAAGAGGAGATCTATATGACACAGCCAGAAGGATACAAAGATGGTGGTTGTGAGAAATGGGTTTGTAAGCTGAACAAATCGCTATATGGATTGAAGCAATCTCCGAGGCAGTGGTACAAGCGATTTGATAGCTTTATAAGGAGGCAAAAGTATACTATAAGTGAATATGATCATTGTGTGTATTTTCAAAAGCTCAAAGATGGATCTTTCATTTATCTTCTCTTGTACGTTGACGATATGTTGATCGCTTCGAAGAGTCAAAAGGAGATAAACAAATTAAAGGCTCAGTTGAATCAAGAGTTTGAGATGAAAGATCTAGGTGAGGCCAAGAAGATTCTTGGTATGGAGATAAGCAGAGATAGACAGAGAGGGAAGCTTTGTTTAACACATAAGCAGTATCTGAGAAAGGTATTACAATGTTTTGGCATGAATGAAAATACCAAACATGTAAGTATCCCATTGGCTTCTCATTTGAAACTTAGTTCTCAATTATCTCCTAAAACTAACGAAGAACGAGTGTATATGGCAAAAGTTCCATAGGCTAATGCAGTTGGGAGCTTGATGTATGCAATGGTGTGTACGCGTCCTGACATTTCACAAGCAGTTGGAGTTGTGAGCAGGTACATGCATGATCCTGGAGAAGGACATTGGCAAGCTGTGAAATGGATTCTACGGTATCTCCAACAAACCGTGGATGTTGGTTTAGTTTTTGAACAGGATGAAGCACTTGGTCAGTGTATGGTTGGATATGTTGATTCCGATTATACTGGTGATTTGGATAAGCGTCGATCAACTACTGGGTATTTGTTTACTCTTGCTAAAGCCCCAGTAAGTTGGAAGTCTACATTGTAATCTACGGTGGCCTTGTTTACTACAGAGGCAGAATACATGGCAGTTTCAGAGGCTGTAAAGGAAGCAATTTGGCTTAACGGGTTGATAGAAGACTTGGGAGTTGTTCAAAGTCACATTAGTCTCTATTGTGACAGTCAGAGTGCTATTCACTTAGCGAAAAATCAAGTCTACCATTCAAGGACTAAGCATATCGACGTGAGGTATCACTTTGTGCGGGAGACTTTGAAGAAGGAAAGATTCTTCTTCAGAAAATTGCGACATCAGAAAATCCTGCAGATATGATGACCAAGGTGGTAACAGTAATCAAGTTCAATCATTGTTTGAACTTGATTAACATCCTGAAAATATGAACACCTTTGGGTGTGTGGCGCTTGTGAGCGCAATTAGAGGCACTACAAATTTGGGGAGTTGAAGAAGTTGAGTAGGCTTGGTAATTTCAAGCCAAGGTGAAGATTTGTTAGATTTGTCTAGAAATTAAGTTGACAAGTTTGAAATTTCATCTTGGTTGGTGGCCAACTTATTGGAAATTTCATCTTGGTTGGTGGACAAACTTTGAACATGTGAATTTCATATTTGGTAGCTAACTTGTACACATTGGAAAATTCTTTGGTAGGTGGCCAAACTTTGAACATATTGTTCTTGAAACTCAACTATAAATAGGCCTAAGTATTTCCATTAGAAATCATCCCAAAAACAAGTTCTCTCTTCCTCTTGTATTCTTCATTCTCCCACTTTGGGAATTCTAAAGAATTCTATTTGTTGTAATATTGGCGATATAGTGAAGTTATCATCCGGTGTGGTGCCCGAGGAGTAGACGATATTCTTGTCGAACCTCGTAAATTTGGTGTGCTCTCTCCTTTATTGTTTTTTATTCGGTTCTTTTCCATTATGTTTCAATATTCAATAGTTTAACAGGTTTATCCGCTGTGCAACCTGTCGCAACCGTCTTTCGGTTGGGCCCCGAAATTGGGCTTCGACTTGAAAAATGGATTGGAGTCACCACCGATCATTTTTTTTTAAAATGGGTTGATCGGACACCTCGTTTCTTACCTGATCTGCGTCTTACCAGTGATATGTCGGATTCGGGAGTCGGTTACAGTCAAGGAAGGGTTAGTACCCTTGAACTGCCCTTTCGGTACTATATAATTTTCAGTTGTCTTTAATTAAGAAAATCGTAAGTTTAAATTGAAAGGTAAAATATCGATCCGAATTACTTACCGTAAGTTGATTTGAAAGTTGTACCCTTTAAAAATGTTAGATTTGTAATGTGAAGTCAAATTGGATTAAGATATAAAATGCTAATTCACCAAACCCAAAAATATGAAAATGGTAATAAAATAAATAACATAAGGAAATCAAATAAGATGATAAAGTAAACGTACATAAAATATATAAAAAAAATCAGTAATACATACATGCCTAATAAGTTATCATGGTTAATAAATAAGGAAAAACAACAGTTAAGTAAAATAATAAAAATACTATATAAAAAAAACAAATGAATATATATACATATGTAAATAAACATTAGGAAGACAAAACAATATAAAAAAATAAAAATAAAAATGTATATATATATAAGGAAATAATAATAATATAATAATAGTAAGCAAAAAAATAAAAAATAAAAAAAGGTATATATATATAATAATAAACGTAATATATAAAAAAGGTTAAAATTAATAAACATAAGATTAAAATATGAAGTAAGGGCTAAATTGAAAAGAAAAGAAAATATAATGGTCAATTTAAGAATTAAAACGGATTTTGAATCAAAGAGAGGGGTCAAATTAAAGGTTTTAAAGAATGAAGGACCAAAAAGGGGGTTAACCCCATTTAACTCAAAAACACGCGGGTCACACTCCATGGGTCGGATTGCACGGGTTAGTTCGGGCATTATGGGTTAAGTATTTAAGCCAAATTTTTTTTTTGAGAAATCATTCATTTTTCTCATCTTCTCTCGCCAAACCACCCATCTCTCTCTCATTTCCTCTCACACATTCAATCGTGTTCTTCATTTAAAGAACACGACCACCATGAAATCCAGAAAACGACCGATGGCCACCTTGCGCCGCCTCGCCGCCGCTGTTGAACGGAGACGGCTGCCGTTCATCGGCGGCAAAACTTTTTTTTTTCAAAGCTCTTTTCCTCTGGTTTTCCAAAAATCCAGATAGTTTTTTTAGATCGAGCCTCGGGATTACTAAATCTAACAAGATAGATCTAAAAGAACTTCCCGTTTATCGGCCAAAAATGGTTCTATTTGGTGTCTTTCGGATCAAAACAACGAAATCAAGCAATAAGAACCACATGCAAGCCAAGTACACAACGAATCGAAGGTAAAAGAAAAAAACAAATACCTTTATTTCTTTTGAAATTCGTACAAGAGTGCTTTGAAATAGCTATCTATTTGTTTCGTATTTTTTTTGGTATTTGTGCCTAACCCTTCTGTCCCTCAGTGTGTGATTGTGTTCATCTATTTATAATATAAGGAATACCCTATTTTAGAATTTTAATCCGAGTAAAACTCGGTTTGGTTGTGATTGTTGAAATCCTAAATTAACACGTTGTGTTGCTTCGTGTTTGTTGAGGAAACCGGTGGCGTGGAGCATGAGGAGACCTAGAGCTTCGTATGCGGCGTTGATTTTTGGGGATCGGTCGAACGACGCTGAGGAGGGAAGCTGCTAGGGTTTCTGGAAACCCTAGCTTCAGTTGGGTTGTGTGCATGGGTTTGGGCCATAGCAGACTGCTGGAACATTTGGACCTGTATTGAAATAATAAAATTAATAATATTATACATATAATCATACAATATAATTTGTAAATAATAATAATAATAATAATAATAATAATAATAATATCAGACGAAATTGAGTGTCTTCACAACCTTTGGTGGTTTTAATCTTGACATTTTAGGTCAATTTTAAAACTACGTTCGTGAGGGAAATAACCCGTTTTCACCAACAGTTCGTTTATTGTGTTCGTTTATGTTCATTTATTATGTTCGTTTACATTCGTTCGTTTGTGTTCGTTTACGTTCGTTTATCATTTAAATGAACGAACATGAACAAGCTATATTCCTTAATGAACGAACATGAACAAAAAAAAAATTTGTTCGTTTATGTTCGTGTTCGTTTATTTATTAAATGAACGAACATGAATATATCTCCGTTCGTGTACGTTCGGTTCGTTTACATACCTATTTTGAGGATGCACAAGATTTCCCACCCGCATAAATGTGTGTGCTTGTCAATGGCAAAGGTATGCATGCATTCGTGGCAACAAAAGTGGAATCCAGGGCCCTCCCCTCCTTGGAAACCTGGAACTAATCATTCTACTCTTTATGTAATGCATTATCTCTGATCAAACACATATTTCAAAAGTATCCCCCCCCCCCCCAAGTTGAACATCATTTATTTGAAGAAAATAGGTAAAGTTGTTCTTTACCTTACTCATTCGCCTCCACCCAAGAAGATCCCATCTTCCATTGCTAAAATAGCAAGTCCATGGCAGCATCTACCACTTCTGCTATCTGAACAGAAACTTCTTTTCAGCAAAAGGCTCGCCTTCAAGCTGTTGCTTACAGTTTTGATTTCAATGATGAAATGAGCCCACCAGATTTTCTTTATAAAAAGTAAAATATATGGGGTACCCCTTGACCACCTTTTTTTCCCCTTGATACTTTACACGAGTTCCCTCAAATTTGCTCAACAATCTTTACAGTTCAATTCCATTAGAAGAAAAGCTTTATGTAAAGAGAGCACAGTCCAATTCAGAAATTCAAACTGTTACTTTTGTTAAGTAAACATAGAGGTTGTGCAGAGTTTTATTATTAGATAGCAACCAAAAGGGTTTTACAATCTCTACAAAACAGTTTAAGATTCGAGCCTCAAAAGATAACTCTTTGAACCATGGTATACAGATGTAAATTTTCACATAGACAAAGGAAATATAGGGATCAATCAGTCGGGGCAATATAGAAACCCTAAACACAAAAAAGAATCCCCTTCCTTTTATCATTTCCCTCTGTGTCATCATTTCCCAACCCCACTCGGCTCATTATAAGAGAATGGAATTACATTTCCTCTAGTGGATTGAAACAGCAAAGAACCAATGAGACAACCAGATTGAATTACAGCCTTGCTGGGAATTATTGGGTTGAAACTTGAGCATACAGAAAGTGGATTGACAAAGAAACCGACTTCAATTCTCTATTCCACATTATGCTGGCGATCGATGTGAAACAATAATATGATGGAAATTCTTTAGTGTACAGGTGAGAAAGAGCAAAGGGCACCTTAGAAACCCCTCTCCCTTGGGATCTCTTGGAAACGGGAACCTCGTCAGCCCCATTCCTTGCATGGATACTCGTACTAGAATAACAAACAAGCTGCAATTGTCCTTCATTGAATTGTTCTCGTGAGGTTACACTTGGAAATAAAGATGGTAGCCGTGTAATTTAAGCTACACAATTTCAACAACTCGGCTGACCGTTGCTTCAAAACAGGATTGCAACCACTCTGTATAATTAGAAGTAGCTTGGCAGCAAGGCCTGCATCCAGAGCAAGTGAAGCACATTCCTCGGGAGCAAACTTGCAAATGGCCCACAGTATTGACAATGCAAGCCGCGTACAATTTTCCGAAGCTTTCATCAATAATTTCACCGCATTTGGTATGGTATTTAGGCAATCTTTCAAAGCCAATCTTCCTTGAGGAATGTTCGACAAAAGCTCCAATATATAAAGGACTAATTCCAAACACACATTATTTAAACCAGGCATCAGCTCAACTAATTGAGGAACTGCGCCAACGTTGACAAAAGAGTTCCTAACCGATTCATGAGAACAAATTACTTTGAGAAAACTCAATCCAGCCAATACCCCATTTTGGTGCTTCTTATCTTTCACTAATCTCAGCAACCCAACTAAAAGACTCAAACTTGCAACACTTTCTGATGCAACATCGTTCCCTTCCGTCAACATCCTAATCAACCTCGTGCAGTTGATCTTGGTCTCAATCGACCCTTCATTTAAAATATCCACCATTAAAGACGTTTTAGCAGGCTGCAACAAATCAGACTTGGAATTGGAATCAAGATTCAAGTTCACAATAACTCCAATAACCTCCGACCCAACAACATGAGTTGTAAAAGGACCGAGCAAAGACGAAATCAAACTAACGCCACCATTTTCCACAACAGTCTTCTTAGCGGTCCCATGAACTTGAACCACTTGCCTAAGCTCCTTAAGAGCTCGAACTCTAGCTTGGCCCTTAACTTTCTTCAAATTCTCCAAAATCTCTTTTACCCTTCCTTCCACGTCCTCTGACCTCTTCTTTATCGACAAATACGTCTGAAAAAACCAACTAAAAATTAGCTGCTGAAGCGTCTTGTTTGGAGTCAGGGAATCATCCCAAAGCTCTTGCATCGTGGTGGGACAAGTGTAACGGCCTAAGGAGAACCATTTAAGAATGTTGGATCTCTCATAGGTTTGGCCAGTGCAAAGAGTGACCGGATTTTGCATTGGATCCAAAGAAATTGGACATATGAAAACCGTTGGCACATCTATGGACTCAAGCTCTTCAATCATTATCTCCAGATCCAATTTCTCTGACGCAAAACCGGTGGATATTACCCCACAACCGCCGCCCAAAATGCCATCTTTCATTGTCATTTCTAGATCTAGAACTTGGCTGTCGAACTTTATGTCGGCTTTTCTTCGATTAGATGGTTGATGCATCGGCATTTTTTAATACCCTTTGCTAAATGCTAGACTACAATGGAAAAAACCTTGACAAAATAGTTTTTTTTTCAAAGGAAAAGGAACAGAGCTAATTTACATGAAAACTAGCCTTTAAGAAGACATATCACATCTAGTAAACAAGAAGCGTGCGGGAAAGATTAAAAAAAATGAAAGGAAAGAGAGTAAGACTATCGAGGAAGGAACGAGTTTTGTTTATATCTTACTTCCTTTTTGACAAAACAGACGACACAATACCAATAGGGGACATCTTTTGTGATAATATTATATTAAAAATTTCTATTAATTATTTTTTTAATGTAATCTTTTAATATATTTGTTAGAAAAATATCTCTCAAACTACCTACATAATTATCTCAGGTCTTATTCAGTGCAATAACGTGTCTCGCATTTTATTGGATGTTAGGTACTGTGTACTTTTTCAGATTACTCAATTTAATATGATTATTTAGTATCTCATGTTTATTAGAACGCAAAATCTACGAGATATTGAGATATTATCGTTCGCAGAAGTTTTGAGATTTAAAATTTAAGAAGATTCTCATACCTTACGCTTCGTATAACGCGATGTATTTTTTGCCTCATACTTTGAAGAAGTGTGATGACCACTATAAATAGGCCCCCATCAACCAGAAATCCTCACATCTTCCTTCAAAAAAATAACTCTCTCTTTTATTATTACGGTCGTATTACTGAGGGTTAATCTTCCACAGATATCACTTACTGTCGAGGAAATTCGGCTGTAATTTTTATTTATTTATTTTAATTTTTTTTATTTTTTTATTTCAAATTTATGTATTCATTTATTTCTAATTTATTTGTTTATTTTTTTTATTTATTCCACTCGAATTTATTTATTTCAAATATGTTTAGGTATTTCGAATTTATTTTGTTCGTTTATTTGTTTGTTTTGAAATTATTTATTTATTTGAATGGATATGAACGTTCATTGATGAGTTTTATCAACCGTTTCTCGTCCCCTAATGACGATATTATTCAATACTTGCAAGAAGCCAGTTTTGGTTACATTGGCACCGTAACTGGTGGTACGAAGTTGCATCATCCATTGATAAACGCGTTGATTGAACGATGGACACCGGAAACACACACGTTTCATTTCCTTGTAGGAGACGACTATTACCCTTAAGATGTCGCATATCATCTTGGGATGCCTGTTAATGGAAATCCTATTACTAGTATGGCTCATGGGAAGTGGGGAACCTTGTGTGAGGAACCGGTCGGAGTTACTCTGATGGAGGATGATTTGGATGGAGTGAAGATCTAAATTAAATTTTTGGACGACAATTTTACACAGCTTCCCGCCGATGTTGCTCTAGAAATTAAACATATAATTATTTAAATCTATGTTTATTTATTGTAATTTATTTATTTATAATATTTAAATTTTGTTTTAGTTATTGTATTTTTTAAGATAATTTTTTAATGTATTCACACCATTTTTATTTTACAACAATTTGATTGTGCTTTTATTTTACAAGTTATTGGGGGTCTTGATGTCTGATAAATCACGAAACAAAGTGCATCTGTCGTGGTTGTATCATCTACGCGATTTGCAGGCCTCTAAAAATAAGAGTTGGGATCAACATTATTGGCCTTTTTGTTCTGGAAGCTATGTAAAGGTGTTAATCCGAACAAACAAACACTTAGAGATTGTTTGATGTTGTGACAATCTTAGGCTTGGTTTCAAATGCTCTTTTTAGCACTAATTCATTTACAACTGACCCATTACAATTTCATCTACTTCGGAGGTAATTACAAATAACATACGTTTATATATTTATTACTACATATTTTTTTAGTTTTACAAATAATTATATTTTATTATATGAATGATAGGTGGACCGTCACACTTACTCACACCCACATACAAAAAACTTAACGTGATTTTAGATTGTCGATCGAGAATATAACAGACGAAATAATCAATTTTATAATTTTATTTTGTAATTTAAATATCAATTTTTTATTCAAGTTTTTCTAACATAGTTTAAAAAAATATTTATGTAGTTCGTGTGAACGCCGTACATTGATGATACTATTACAGCGTGTACTTCGGATGAGATATGTCACAGTTCGCATGTTTGGATGTCGGTGGTCCCATTAATAGTGTATGAGATCGTCGAGTGACATCCTACTGGTCGCATATTACGGTAATTTGGTTGTGTCCAAATGAATCCGCCACCACCATGATGGTGGTGGTGGTGGTGGTGATCAGAGTGATGATGATTCCCCAAAATATAGATTGGTTCGTATAAATCATCGTCGGACGTCGGACGTCACAGTGCGATACGGGTGGACATAGGTATTATTAGTTTTTAATAATTATTTTAGTTATTCGAACTATATTTTCTTTTTTGTTAATTAATCAAACTCTGTTTTTTTAAAATAGTATTCAAATATAATGTTCTCATTTTTTAAAATTTGTTTAAATTATTAATTTCTTTAAGTTATCCATGAACAATATGATAATTAGTTGTTCGGTTTGATGCATAAACAACTTGGGAATCATCATTTTCTCGCACAAAATTTATTTTAATACTAATTTTAAAACATAATAAAAAAACAAAATACACGAGTTATTTATCGCTCTCTCTCCCGACGTTCATGGGCAATACGTAGCAGAACTGGCTCTTCGTCCTCATAGCCTTGTGATAATCGAGTAACTCATTCATTGCTTGTTGAATATGATTATTCCTCAAACGTTATAGTTAACTCGATGTTCCTACTGCCAACACGTGTTTAAGCCTTAAACATCTTCCGAAGGGCGCTTGTAATTGATAAGGTCAACATGTAATGTGATTCAGTGCCGGTATTTCCCATGGGAACTTTAGCTTGCAACGAAAGCATCTGTCGTGTTGTAGATTTTTCAGCTCCATTGAAATCAAGTCGTACAACTCATCTTTCTTAATTCTGCCATTGAATGAAGTGTAGAAATAAGTTTTGGAATGGAACACATTTGCATAAAATCTTGTCATTGCTATTTGTTTTATGAATGTATTTCATCCAAAATGGACAACAATCTTGTTTTTATAGACATATTTTCTCGCTCATTTTAATACGAGACTTGCCATATTGAATCAAATATTGATTCCACGTTAGGAATCTTTGCCACGTCAGGAATCCCTCAATAACTCGCATTTTGCAGAGAGCGAGTTTCCTGTCACGTCTGGAATCCCTGCAAAACTAGTCTTTTGCACCGCGCGAGATTACTCCACTATAAATAAGTATCACCCTTCTACTTATATTATAAATTTTAACACAATCTATGCTTATAAGGCATTTCTTCTGGTGACATAACTTGGCACTAAACTTATGTCAATATTGGTGCTATAAGTTATGCCACCCAAAGAGGATGTCTTTTATAAAATATATGACATTCTCGAAAAAATGCTTGTTTCATAAATTCTGTCATTTTCGTCAAACTAACAATGTTTATAAAAGAGATTCTTTTCGGGTGGCCTCCTCTTCAACTTGTCTTTTATACAATATATTTGTAAAATCGATTAAACATGAGTAACCTGACCTTCTTGGGAAACTCAACGAATGCATCCTCTTTTTGTGGCATCCTCTATGACTTTTCTCGCTTGAGACGCTGATATGACCTCCACTCGTCTTCTTAGCTTTTTACCTTGTATTTACTACGGAGGGCTTCTCGGGAAACTTCTTGTTCCATCAAACCCTGAACTTCTTGGGAAACTAATTGTTTCTAAGAAGGCATTCTCTTCAGGTGGCTCCTTCAACTTATCGCTTGTAACGTGAATCTGACAGTGGTGGGCATAGCTTTCGAATACCATTTTTACCCCTGATCCACTCTTTATCAAACTCATAGTGTTTCTAAAAAGACATCCTCTTCCAGTGGCATCCTCTACTTAAGGCATCAAACCCACATATGGCACACCTCCACTTGTTCCCTCAAACTTATTGTGTTTTTTCATTGTACTACTTTTGTTTCGAACAATTTTAAACACGATTATTACACCGCTTAAATGTCTCGTATGTGCTAGCACTAGCCATGTCTATCAAGCCATTTTAGCTTGTTCTGTATGCACAAAACCAAACATTAGATCCATTTTGAACGTGATTTTGTATCTTCTTATTCTTGCACAAAACAAGCTTTGGTACCATTTTCAACGCGATTTTTAACCCGCCTATAATATCTCGTATGTCTTTATATTAGCCTCAACTGAAAGATAAATTCCAATATGCTTAGAATCTTATAAATTACAAAAATTTCGAGATTAAATACTCGAACATGCTTATAAGCACTAGTGAATTGGTGAAAAAAATACCTCATTTTTTGGAAAACGCGAAGTATGTTAAATACTTCTCGCGAAAAATTTCTCGGGACAATTCAATGTCTCGTGGACCTCACGTTCTGAGAAACATAAGGCACTAAATAATCATATTAAATTAGATAATCTGAAAAGTATATAATACCTTGCATCCTATAAAATGCGAGATACATTCTCGCGCTGGATAGGTTACGTGTACCGTTAAGGGTATTTTTCAAACAAATCTACTAAAAAAATTATTGTTTAAAAATGGTTTTTAATATAATATTACATCTTTTCTTCTCTATTCTTTTGCTTTCCAGTGTTGTTTGTTTTATCTGATCTCTTTCTCTCGTCTAAAGGGTAACCCCATTCTCCTCCACCACCAATAATACCATTGTCATCATCAAAGAAATGATGGAAAAAGAAAAAAAATGCAATCTTCTTCACTCCCTAATAATACCAAAGCTATTTACGACCCTTACTCAACTTCCCCCTCAAGATTCCTGAAAGAAAGATACCAGCAAAAACCCAGGACCCAGATCAGCTCAAAAGTGAAAATCGGAAAGCACAATCAAAATTGAAACACAGAGAGTAATAAAGAGAGAAAGAAGAGATTTTGAGCATTAAAGATACGAGAGAAATGGGAGAATTTATACAAAATAAAAGAAAAATAAGATGAGGGTAAAATGG